AAACATACAGAATAAAGAAAAAAATAGTAAGAGCTGCAAAGGAAAAAGGCCAAGTAACATATAAAGGCAGACCAATCAGAATAACACCCGAATTCTCAATGGAGACTCTAAAAGCCAGAAGGTCCTGGACAGATGTTATGCAGACACCAAGAGACCATGGATGCCAACCCAGACTACTATAACCAGTAAAACTCTCAATTGCCATCGACGGTGTAAACAAAATATTCCATGGTAAAACCAGATTTAAATGATAGATACCATCATATCCAGCCCTATAGAAAGCACTAGAAGGAAAAAATCCAACTTAAGGAACTTAGATACACCCACAAAATGCAGGCAATATATAATCCCACATCAGCAAATACCAAATATGCAACACTACCACCAAACAATAACAGGAGTTAACAATCACTGGTCATTAATATCCATTAATATCAATGGACTCAATTCACATATACAAAGACACAAGCTACCAGAATGGATATGAAAACAGCATCCATCCTTCTGCTACATACAAGAAACAGACCTCAATTTCAAGGACAGACACTCAGAGTAAAAGGTTGGGAAAAGACTTTACAATCAAATGGAGTTAAGACGCAAGCTGATATAGTTATCATAATTTCTAATAAAATAGAATTCAAACTAAAATCAATCAAAAGAGTTTGGGAAGGACATTACATATTTATCACAGGGAAAATCCACCAAGATGAAGCCTCAATTCTGAACATTTATGCTCCAAGTACAAGGGCACCCACATTTGTAAAAGAGACATTACAAAAGCTTAAATTGCATATTAAACCTCACACACTAGTAGTGGGAGACTTCAACACCCCACTCTCACCAATGGACAGGTCTGCCAGAAAGAAACCTAACACAGAAATAAGGGAAATAACAGATATCATGACTCAAATGGCCTTAATAGATATCTACAGAACATTCCACCATAACAAAAAAGAGTATAGCTTCTTCTCAGCAAAACATGGAACCTTCTATAAAATTGACCACATGCTTCATCACAAAGCAAATCTCAACAGATACAAAAAATTGAAATAACCTCCTGTATCTTATTGGACTTCTTTGACTTAAAGTTAGATTTCAACAACAACAAAAATTACAGAAAACCTACGATATCATGAAAACTGAATAATGCCCAACTGAATCACCAATGAGAAAAGAAAAAATAAAGAAAGAAATTAAAGACTTCATAGAATTCACTGAAAACGAATGTTCTACATACACAAACTTATGGGAAACTATGAAAGCAGTGCTAAGTGGAAAATTCATAGCACTAAATGTCCACATAAAGAAGATGGAGAAATCTCACACAATTCACTTAACAGCACAACTGAAATCTCTAGAACAAAAAGAAGCATATTCATGCAGAAAAAACAGATGCTAGGAAATAATCAAATTGAAGGCTGAAATCAATAATATAGACACATAAGAACAATACAAAGAATCAATGAAACAAAGAGTTGGTTCTTTGAGAAAATCAACAAGAAAAACAATCCTTATCCAAATTAACCAAAAGGCAAAGGGAGAGCACCCAAATTCACAAAATCAGAAATGAAAAGGGAGACAAAACAACAGAAATGAGGAATCCCATAGAAACGTAAGATCATACTTAAAAAAAACCTGTACTCCACAAAATTGGAAAATCTGAAAGAAATGGACAATTTCCTGGATAGGTACCACATACTAAAGTTAAATGAAGACCAGATAAAATAGAAACAGTCATTAAAAGTCTCCCAACCATAAAAAAGCCCAGGACCTGATGGTTTCAAT